GGAAATTCAATAATAGGTTGCTAAGAATGTAAAAATATACACAATAAAAAAATAATAAAAATACCAGACCAAATAAAATTAAAGAGGTAAAAGGCATTTTGTAATGACAAAGCCAATGGATGGTGATTTTACAATTATTAGCATATGTGCACTTAATGACATAGTAAAAATACGTAAAACTGACAGAATTGAAAGGAACAATGGATAATTCAGCAATAATAGTTGAATCAAAACAACTATGAGATCACCCCAGCCACAGTAGCAAAGTTCAAAAGAGCAGCAAACAGCAAATACTGGCAAGGTTGTGGAGAGATAGGAACTCATTCACTGCTGGTGGGAATGTAAAATGGTACAACCATTATGGTACAACCATATGTTCAAAAAATTGAACATAGAAATATCCATTTGACCTAGCAATTCCACTATTGGGGATATACCCTAAAGAAACCAGAGCCAGGATTTAAGCTGATATTTACACACCCCCATGTTTAGTGCTGCATTGTTCACAAGAGCAAAGAGATAGAATCAACCCAAATATCTGTCAACAAATGAATGGATAGAAAAACTACAGCACATTCACACAATAGAATGTTAGGCAGCATTGAAAAACAATGAGCTCATTCAAAAACAATCAGCTCATAAAACAACATAGAGGAGCCTGGAGGACATTATGCTGAGTGAAATAGTCACAAAAGGATAAACACTCCATAACACCTCTGTTACAAAATAGGACTGATATGGGAGCAGGGGTTGGGGAGAGTGGGAAAAGTTGTTAGGTGTTGTCAAGTCCAGCAGGACCCACAGTGACCGCTAACAACAACAGATCTGTCCTATCCTGTGCCATCCTCAAACTTCCTGATGCTTTAAAGCTTCATTGCTCAGTCACTATGTCAGTCCATGTGGTTGGGGGTTTTCTTCTCCTTTGCCAATCCCCTGCCTTTCCAAACATCATGTCCCTGTCCAAGGAATAGCACCTCTTAGTAATATGCTCAAAGTATGCTCAAAGCCTCATCATGCTTGCCTCCAAAGAGCACTTTGGCTGCACCCTCTCCAAGACACACTTATTTGTTCTTTTGGCAGTCCATGGACTGTTCAACACCACAGTTTAAAGGCATCAATTCTTCTGTCATTCTTATTCATTGTCCAGCTCTCAGATGCATACCAAGTTGGAAAGCCTGAGTCAGATGCATCTTAGTCTTCAAACTGACATCATTACTCTTCAGTAATTTGGAGACGTTCCTAACGGTAGTCTTTCCCAGGGCACTATGTCTTCTGATTTCCTTAATTGTGGATCCAAGTTAAGATGAAGTTGTTGACAATTTCAATCTTTTCTCCATCTATCATGATGTTGCTTATTGGTCCAATGCTAAGGATCTTTGTTTTCTTAACATTGAGATGGAATCCATATTGAAGCTATATTCTTTGATCTTCTGCAACAAGTGCTTCAAGTCCTCCTCACTTCCAGCAAGCAAAGTTGTGTCATCGGCATGATGCAGGTTATTGATGAGTCTCCATCTAATTTGCCACATTCCTCTTTGTAGAGTTCAGCTTCTTGAATAATTGGCTCAGTGTATATTATCTGGGAGGCTGGGCTCTATGAGGAGAAATGTGGGGTCAAG